CATGGGAATATAATGATTATTCAAATAGAGGTTCATAGAATATCATGAATTTTCACAAGGAGACCAATTACATATACATGTATATTGTAAAAATTTATCCGTAATTATTTTTCGTGCGTACTGTATGTATGTCTAATTTGGGTTCGCTGTTAGTATACGTATTTGTTATCTAATATGTGCTCATTTCTATTTTAAAAAATAATGCACTTTGGGAATTGTCGTTAAATGACTTCGATGCTTTTTATCGCATCATGTGTTATGTTAACGTCAATATATATACTATAACGATGTCCCATATGTTTCAATCATAAAAAAGGAGTTGGTTTATCATGAAACTTTAAAAGAAAAGAGCAATCAAAAAATGATTTATAAAAGAATAGAATACATGTAGTTGCTTGATAGTCTAATGGAATCAAATCAATGAAGTAATAATGAATGTATAGTTAAAACACATAATTTTTAATAAAGATGCGAAAATTTTAGTGTACGATAATCCACTTAGTACTTTTGGACACATGTAACTTGTATATTTCTTGATTTTTATATCTGCTAGATCGATAAGACTAAAAGCTGAAATGAAAGCATCAATATATTGCCAGGGTAAACATCACTATTCACAAGTTACTTTTTGTAAATCTTTATTTTAGTATGGATAACATTCAGTAAATAACTTAATTTTTCTTTCAAAATTAATTCTTCATAATTGAAACTAATATATTTACAAATGCCAAACTTGTATTTATACATACAGTGCCCATCAAAAGTATCCCCTCCCCTGTAATTTCCAAACAATCACATGCATGACACTATAATTTTGCATGCATATAGTATAGTTCAAATATAGATCACACCTGCATTTTAGGGGATTATACATTAATAAAAAACAAAAGCTTCATTACACTTGAAAAAAGACTAAAAAATGCCTTTAAATTTAAGTTAATGATATGAAATTGTCTTTTTACGCATCCACCCAAAAGATCACAAGCTGTCAATATATGAGATAGCTAAAACAGTTCGCTGTGATGAAAAAACAGTCCATTATTGGATCCAAAGATGGGAAAAAAACAAGACTTGAGTGATAAACCAAAGACAGGTCAATAAAGAATGACCACCCAATAACAAGACAAGTGAATAGTGACACTTGCAAAAAAAAATTGATATAATGGTTCCAGAAATTCAAAAGAAGATAATTAAGCAGAATTTTGATATTAGTATACATACTATACAATATCATCTTCATGAAGAGAAAGGCAAATATATGAACAAGCTTTCAAAATCCCTTCTCACAGAGAAATATTGGTAAAAATGACTAGAATGGGCAAAAAAATATAGAAACTTTAACTGGGACAAGATGATTTTTTCAGATAAAAGTATCTTTTGTCTAAATCAAGTCATAAAATGGGCTTGGCAGTTTCCTGAAAGAAGAAAGATAAGTTATTCTTTAAAGTATTCTCTAAAGGTCCATATATGAGGATGTTTTTCATCTGTAAGCTTTTACAAGCTGATTTGCTTTGTGAGGAATCTCAATGTCAATTTTCTGCTAAACATATATAAAATAGATCTTTTGCCATCTGCCAATGAATTTTTTGGTCAGAAAAATGATTAGTGGATTCTTCAAGAATATAATAATTACAAGTATCATTTAAAAATTGTGAAGGTATGGAAGAAGAAAATGAATATAAAGGTTCTTCCATAGCTATCAATATCTCCTAATCAAAACCTGATTGAAAATGTCTGGAGGCTCATGAAAAATAATCTGGTAAAAAAAAATTAGAACTGTTAAGAGTTTGAAGAGGGAATTATAAAAAGAATAGTATCATTTACCTAAAGAATATGCAGTCTGATTAGTCTCAAGTATAAGAAAGCATGTAGAAGCTTTAATTAAGACTGAGGGTGATTATATCATATACTAAACTTATTGTATGAAATTAGAGCTTTTAAATAAAAAAAAGATTCTTTATTAATCTTATCTCCTTATTAATCTAGAATAGAGAGAAATACTTTTGACAAATACTATACTGTATGAAACAAAAAAAATACATTTACTATTTTTGCTTATATTCAATGAATATTTATTTAAATCATATAAATTTTAAATATATATGCTTGATAATCTAGTAAATAAGTTTGCTTAAAAGTATTTAATAGCTTATGTTAATAAAATTCTTTATAATTAATATTTTTTTATTAAAAATTTTTGTAAAAAAAAATTGATTATAAAAAATTCAAAATTCTTTTTTAATTTTTTTTATTTATTATTTAATAAATATTTATTTAAATCATACAAAATTTTAAATATATATACTTAATAATCTAATAAATAAGTTTGCTTAAGATTAATTAGCAAAATAATAAAAATAATAATTATAATAGTTATTTTATTATTAAAAGTTTTAATTATAAAAATATAAATTATAAAAGATTTTAATAAGATAAGTAAGATAAGTATTCAGATAGTTGTAAATAAAGTTATTTATTATGCTTATAAGTATATATATTTAAATTTTTATGTTATTTAAATATAGTGACACCTCCCAAAGTGCATCCCTCCTCCTGAAACCATAGTAAAAAATAAAAAGTATGCATTTAGAGAGGATGTGTATTTATAGAGATCAAAATATATAGAGCTTTTATAAGTTAGAACCAGAATATACCATGTATTTAGAGAGTAGTTATATAATGCATGCACTTAGAGAGGGTGCACTTAGAGAGGTGTAACTGTAAATATTATGAAGAAATTTAAGAATTACAGTTTTTTTGTCTCTCACTGTAAATTTTACTGGATAAATAATTATATTAAGTATTTATTTTATAATTCGATTTTAGTTATAATATAATAACTTATTTCAAAATAAGAATCATTATATTTTAAAGCATTCTGAATCTATTTTAAAAAGCTTTATTTAAATTAGAAACATTTGAAATTATCCCTTTTATAAATTTGTTTGAGTCACGTGATTTCGTTGTTAGATTCAAATTTATAATTTTCACTTGTAAAAATTTCTTTTATTAAACTTCGATATCTTTTGTTTATACTAGATAATTTAATTTTATTTATAATAATAATCAAAACATCTACTATAATAATTGTTTTCTTGATCGGTTTGAACCAGTAATTTACTAAGTTTGAGATTATTACTTTATTTCAAATTACTATATAAAATACCAGTTTTTAATATTATAAATTAAATTACTTATTCAAAATTATAATAACTTTTTTAAAAATTCACAATTTTATTTAAACCATCTCCAACCTGTCAAACCACAAAACATCACTAGACTGTGTAAATCGTATTTGAGCAGACTGTTGTTTTTTGTTGATATGCTTAGGAATGCTTTCTTGACTTTGTCTTCCTTTCATTAATTTCATATCGATATTTTGTTTTGGGATAATCAAAGAACTATAATCCTGAAAATGTAAAATTTTCAGGATAACGGATAGAGTCAATAAAGCATTAGGTTCCTTAGTAGTTGGTCCGTTTTCAATAATAAATTTGAACCATCATCTGGAAACATTATTTGGTATCGTGGGTCGTATTTATTGATGTCGTACAAGATAATAACTTAATTCACCAGTTATCATTTCGTATACAACCATCCAAAACTATAAATATCTGCAGCAGTAGTATATGATTTTCCATTTAGCGCCTTTGGACTCATGTAAGGAAACTAAGAAAATTTCTTGGCTTCTTTCTATATTTGTTGAAATAGTAAATCCAAAATCAGCAATAATTAAAAGAGAGAATTTATATTTATTATAAAATCCCTTAAAAACTTTATTCGAAAATTCGAAAGCTTGGCATATTCAATATATTAACGCGTCTTTATTTTCGTTTATTATGATACAATTTTGAGCTAAATGAAATTATTGAGGTAGGAAGAATCATAGAAAACTGTGATTATACATACAAATACAAATATGGTTCAAGTCGTCACCTAGAAATGCATTTACATGTTTTTGATTTATTGAAGCTTCGAAATAGCAATAAGTTTTCTAATTTAAGAATAAATACCCCATAATTGGTTATCAATGGGTCACAGCTTTAAATGATTAAAATAAGCTTTTGGCCAAAATCATGCAGATCATGTAAATCATTTGCCAAAGTTTCTGTAAAATACATGTACATGCACATACCACATCCCTCGAAATTATAATAATCCTGATTTTATAGGTAATACATGAACATATTAATACATGTACATGTATTTATAAAGCTAAATACTTTATTATTATACATGTGAATTCAATTTATTCACATAAATTAGTATAAAGCTACACTACTTTTGTATCTATATATAGTAAAAAAGGCATAAGCATAGCCTTTAAACGGCATCCGGCATGTTCTACACCATAGTTTCTAAGCTTTGCCTTGAATTTATCCCGCAATTTAATTTGAAAAAACTATTGTATATGACGCCATTTGACATATTAGGAATGATGAAGTATACGGATAATAAAAAATGCCGTATTAATACCATCCAATGAATGCTAAACCTCAAAAATAGAAATTGCGTTAATAGCTGATGTTGGAAAAACATTTTTGGATAGCCAACAAACTGAAATTTGAATTTTTTTAGAAATTCTTTTATGAATGTGAGTGTAAAATTGCCAAGAACGAGGCAAAATTTTTAGCTTACAGAGAAGCACATATTTCATTCATTAAAATAATAAGGTACACTAGAAGTCTTTTCTGTGGAGAATTGGGTCTATATTCTAATATGGCTAAAAATATGTCATCATTTATGAGAATTCTTTTTACCCGAAAATATTTGATTATTGGCCGCAGGCTGGTTTGAATGAAGAACCTTATTTCTATTAGCCCGTGTAAAAGAGCAGTTTTGGATACACTGTAGAGCATCATTGGATTTAGGGAAAACGATATAAAATTGCTGCTTGAAGCTCTTCAATATCTTTGTTGCTTTCAGGAACCAAATAACGTTATATATTTCGATAAATTCAAACACTGGATATAAAAATCCAACGAATACATCTTTTAAAAATGCAATCGTCAAATCAGAAAAACATTGATATGAACACGATTCTTTCTATAATTCCCTATCTACCGAAAGTTACCCCTCAGGATCTAATAATGAGGGCAAGCGCAAGATTTAAAAAAAATGGCGAAATATCCAGAATTCCTAATGCATTTATCGCATTTCGTATGGATATCTATCGTGAACTTCGTGTTTTTGGCGATTGCAGCATGAGTCAACCTCAACTTTCTTTAATGTGTAAGGCTTCATGGGAAAGTCAACCAGAATCTGTCCGTAATGCATATCAACATATTGCAGCATCCGCAAGAATTCTTTACAAAAAAATGATTCAGAAATGCATACAGCAAGGACAAAATGGTAAAAAAGTGGCGTCATACGAGCAGACGCCATTTTTAAATGACGAAATGAACAAAAGCCTTGATTTCAAAGATCAATTTGAAAGCCATTCTTTTGTAAATATGACTACTTCCGAAATATTCGCGCAGGATACTTCGAGCTTGACATCAAATACATCAGGCCATGTTCCTCCTAATTGGATCCAACAAAATGAAAATCCAAATTTGACTATTGAAAAATCAACCGATTTAGCTAACTTTGGGCAATCTGAAATTAATTCGAATATAACTCTTTCCGATGATTTACAAGAATCTTTTTCTACGGAATCATTCAATAATGAACTTTCATGTTTAGAAGGAGACCAATCTTCATATTTTGTTTCGATGAATTCGGAGAATATAATGCAATCGTCAAGTTTGGAATCATTCGATATCAGAAACTATTTTGATAATCCTTTTTCTTCAACTTCTAATAATTTGACTGAACCGCAACAACTAGATCAACGAGAACATAATCTATTTAACATTTTTGTTGTGAACAATAATGTTATTGAAAATTCCCATGAACACGATAAATGTGACGCAGAAATCCAGATTGCCGAACTGCGCTCAAAAATTAAATCTTTAGAACAAAAAATTGATACTTTAATGAATTTTTTAAATGAAAAAGGAATTAAGATGAATGAATGAGATTTAGAAAAATGGTCTCATCTTTATAAGGAAATCTATAAATAAGCCTATCTTTTTAAGAAGTGTATTTAGTTAAATCAATATCCATTATCCATGTTTTCTCAATTTTGTTTACTTTTTTTATTCTTTAAAGTTTTTATCTTAGCTCATATATTATTAACGTATATAATCGAAATTTCGATTAAGAAAGTGTAAAAAATTGTCAAATAAAAACGTATTTTTATTGATTTCCCGGCCTGACGAAATCATCCGGACAATTTCGACAACTAGAAAAATCAACAAATTATACCGTACGCCACTGACTATAGTGCCATTCCAGAATTTCTTAAATAGTATCCCACTGGATACTAATTACAGGTAAGGGTAATAGAATGGGAATACATTGTTAGGAGGATACTGTAATGGAGGGTACTTTACATAGTTTTAATATTGATGATATAACATGTTAAATTTACTTTTAAATTAATAAAAAATTGTGACTGGGCTCGAGTTGCTAAATAAAGATGACAATGAAATTCTCATGAAAAAATTGCAATTATTACTCATCTCAAAAAACATTCAAAAAGTGTACTATATAAAACTGAAACAAGAAGATATTAATCTAATAAAAAAGAAGAATTAATGCATGTTTCACCGCATATTAAAATCAAGAAAGTCCACCAAAGTATCTCAAGTTAGAAAAAAATCTTTATAATTGGGTAAAGGAATTTAAAACATAAAAAAAGATAGTAACATGATCAAAATTAGAGCAAAAGTATTATAAATTATGAGTCAGTGCAAAAAGATTTGTACTTCAGATAAATATTAATAAATTATTTTTTCAAAATAAAATTTTAATTCTGTCTTATTTAATTAAATTATTAGGTATTAGGATTTATTTAAATTTAAAAATTTTTATTATATATCTTTTATAAAAAAATTTTTACTAATAATAACTTTTTTCAATTATTATTTCTTAAATTTTACTATATAAAATTTGATTAAAATCAATATAAAAATTATATAATAAATAATTTAATTGCTTAACTTTGAATCTTAATATCTTTATAACTACTGATTCCACTTTTATGAAATTTAGAATATATATTTATCAAATCTAGAACAACCTACTTTTATAATTTGAAGTTCTAATATTACAAATTAATAGTGATAATATTCAGAATATCTTTTTTTTAAAAAAAATAATTTTATTTTAGTTTTTTTTTAGTAAAATAATGCTTTATTTATTATTAATTTAAAGTATAATAGAATCAATAAAATATTATTATAGTGAATTGGTAAGTGAAGTTTCATTTTAATTTACTCTAATGATATAGGGATGGGAGAAAATGATATAATTAAAGGTAAAAAGAGAGGAATTAGATTATAACTTTCAATAATGATAAAGATTTCTAAGGTCTGTACCAATATCTATGGATATTGTCTCAAAAAGAGGTATTAAATAAATAAATAAATAAATAAATCAGAGAAATTATAAAGATTAACTGAGTGAAGTCACTAGTAATTGATATAATTCAAGATTTGAATTG